TTGTATTCTTAATATGAGCAAGATCGGCAAGAAAATGGAATTTTTATGAATATCCCGACCCCAGCGCCACCTAGCGATACAATTTTTAGTCGAAATATTTCCCTTTATGATGCTGACATATGTTCCAAATATGAACGAAATCGGTTTAGTTTAGTGACATTCAATGTACAGAAAACTATGAAATTGTGAAATCGTGACGTATCAGCATTCTTCATTTTTCGGCAACAACAACAAAAAGTTAAAATTTTTTTTAATAGAAAAACCTTCCACACAGAAGGTCCAAAATAGTACTTTTTACATAATTTAAATCGGTTCAGCCGTTTTGTCAGGCATCGCGGTCATACGAAAAACATTTCATTTTTATATATACAGGGTGTCCCAGAAGTAACGTGCCAAACTTTAGGGGAAGGTAGGTGGGGTGGGTGAGCTCACTGATAAACAAAAAATTTTCAGGTAAAAGTGTCACCGGTTTTGAAATATTTAAATTTTTTCGAATTTAAAAAAAAATCGTGCCTTTTCATGTGTTTTCTTTAACTGCAACTACAAACCGGGCAATACTTAGTAAATTTTTTATGTAAAATACTTCCAGATAGTTGTCTCTCCATACTCAAATGCAATATAGTTAAAATATATTAAGAAACCATCATAAAATTAGGACTATTTCTGGATTTTTAACTTTTTGATATTTTCCTCCCCAACTTTGACTATCTCGGGTGAAAAAAAATCTGCTGAGCTATAACGTTACATTACATAAAAAAATTGCTCATTTAATAAAGATTTCAGAAAGGTGCCACACTTACTGTTTTGAATAGAAAAAAAAGTTATAGCCGCTTTTGTGGGTAAAGGACTGAGACACGCTAGAATGTATTTAATAGATTTAAATTGAATTTGCTCTTGTTACCGTCAAATGACATGCTAAATAGTACAAAGGTACATTATTACCTGCTCCTGACATTATTTTGTGTTACTTACCGGAATTAGTGAAAGTGGATTTTGTGAAATTGGACCCTTCGAACATTGTGTTATTAATACTATGACAGAGAACACGCAGTATACGTCGCATGAATATGCGGATATTCACCTAATTTACGGTGAAGCTTGCTGTAATGCCAGAGCTGCTGAAAGATTCTATGCAGAGCGATACCCCAATCGTCGACATCCGGGTCGTGAAGTATTCGCCCGGACCCATAGAGAAATATATGAAGGTAAGTGATTTTTACACCTTTCTTGTTTGCTTGCTTATTAACTATCATTTTCCACTTTTTTAAGGTCGCATACCTGGAAGGCGTGGCGGCGAAACAGGACGTCCTGCAACGGTAGATGTTGAAGCTGTGTTAGAGGAAGTGGAACTAGGTCCATCGACTTCAGTGAGAATGATGGAAAGACGGACGGGAATACCAAAAACTACAGTTCACAAAGCTTTACAAGACCATCGATTTCATCCATACCACATTCAACGTGTTCAGGCTCTAAATACAAGACAGAGATTACCTGTCGAGAGTTAGATTTTACCGTGAAATGTTGCGAATGCATGAATCAGACCCCAACTTTTTTAATAAAATAATTTGGAGCGATGAATCATCATGCAAACGTGATGGTTATTTTAATTTACATAACCTTCACAGTTGGCAGATAGACAATCCTCACGAAATGAGAGAAGATCGTTCGCAGTACCGGTACAAAATAAATTTACGGTGCGGTATTTTTAATTGTCAGATATTGGGACCTGTGGAACTGCCGCCAACGCTCAACTCTCACAGTTATTTAGAGTTCCTTCAGGAACGGCTTCCAACTCTTTTGGAAGATGTACCCTTAAACCTGCGGCGAAGACTATGGCTGCAAAATGACGGGTGCCCTGCTCACTACGGGCGTGAAGGCGCTCGATCGCCAGACCTGAATCCATTAGATTTTTTCTACTGGGGCTGTCTTAAGGACAAAATTTATTCAAAAACAATTCAAAACGAAGAGCATTTGCGGGAACAAATAAATGGAGCTGCTGCTGAGATAGCCCAATTGAGTTTAAGATCTCTAAAAGCGTCTTTTCTTAAAAGGTGCCGAGCTTGTATTAGAGTAGAAGGTTGCCAATCTGAGCATATTTTATCAATAAATGAATAAATTTTTCTTCAAACAACTCATTTATATCTTATTTCCCATCCTTCACACCAAATATTGATAGATATAGCCCTTGTTATAGACTCTAGTCCGAATTCCGGTAAGTAACATAAAATAATGTCAGAAGCAAGTAATTATGTACCTTTGTACTATTTAGCATGTCATTTGACGGTAACAAGAGCAAATTCAATTTAAATCAATTAAATACATTCTAGCGTGTCTCAGTCCTTTACCCACAAAAGCGGCTATAACTTTTTTTTCTATTCAAAACAGTAAGTGTGGTACCTTTCTGAAATCTTTATTAAATGAGCAATTTTTTTATGTAATGTAAAGTTATAGCTCAGTACATTTTTTTTCACCCGAGATAGTCAAATTTGGGGAAGAAAATATCAAAAAGTTAAAAATCCAGAAATAGTCCTAATTTTATGATGGTTCCTTAATATATTTTAACTATATTGCATTTGAGTATGGAGAGGCAACTATCTGGAAGTATTTTACATAAAAAATTTAAAGAAAACACATGAAAAGGCACGATTTTTTTTAAATTCGAAAAAATGTAAATATTTCAAAAACGGTGACACTTTTACCTGAAAATTTTTTGTTTATCAGGGAGCTCACCCCCCCCACCTACCTTCCCCTAATGTTTGGCACGTTACTTCTGGGACACCCTGTATAGATTATTTTTGCACTAAGGTTCACTTTCTCACGGAACCGCCCAAGTGATAAGTGCTCTTTTTGTATAAACTATGCTAGTAAAAGAATTTAACAACAAATTAGTTAAATACTAGTGATAAATAATGTAAAAATGTATTCACGTTTGTTAACATCCCCGCCAAGTTTCATGAGAAAATTCATGACAGTTTTGCCTTAACTCCCGAAACCGATGTAATGTTATAGGAAGTAGTCGAGATATCAAACTTTATTGAGTTAAGGGATTTTAGTGTTTTTGAAATTCATTTAATTATGTATCAAATAACCGACAAACTGGAATGTATCGGGTATATTCCAAGTCCTACGACAGGCCTTCAGAAGTTTCTCAGCATCGAAACTAATATGGCTGAAATTAAAATAACCGCCGCTCAAGCAACTTCGTCAATAATTGCAACGTTCATATTCGCTGCTAACTAATATTTTAGCATACATTTTATTAACTTTGCATAAGAATTTTGCAAGTACACTTTTAATAACTTTACTTCGGGTCAATATTAACAGAAATTATACGCATACATACATAAATTAATTACATATACGCAAAAAATGCGTCTAATTTAATTTGCTTATCTCGAAATCAATTTCTATTTTTTTCCACATTGTTAAAGTTTTGAGTAAAACAGTAATTTTCCAATTAAATCCTGTAATTCCGTAACAGCATAGTTCCAACTTTTTTAACAACATAACTGAAACGATTAAACACGAAACTAAAAAGCCAGTAGTTTGGGTACGTACTCCTATCTACAAAAATTTATATAAGACATTTTCATTATTTTATTTTTTTCGTGTTAAAAACACTAAAACTTTCAGCGCTACCACAGTAAAGCAAATTTAGCCGTTGCAATCACAATTGCAATCAATTCCACTCAAACACGGACGAACATGTTGGGTATAGGCAGTACGTGGCAATTCCGCAAAACCGGCAAGTTGAATGAACGTCCAGTCCTGCTCATTCACTCATCCAACGCTGGTTAGGCGGTCGCAATTGAGCATTGAGCGTTTTGGCGGTATGTTCATTCGTGGCTGAGTGAAAAGACAATTAACGTTGCTCAAATTGTAAGCGAAAGAGGCGGCCGCTACTAGCAAAGCAATGAAAATCCAACAACAAAAACGAACACTGCTTTGGTTGCTTGCTATGTTAGTTTGTATTTCTCTGATAGCAGAGCTCGAAGCGGTGGCATTGTGTTTGCCCCGTCGGCGAATTTTGTTACTCAACGGTTTCAGTTATGATTTTCCACTCAGTATGCATTTGCTAGCTAGAAACATATGTGCATATTGCTTTGGCCAATGTTTTTAGCTCGTCGGGCAGTTGCGCTTGAATATTCCAATTGCCGTCGCTGTAACATCGCAGGCCGTGGATATAATGAGAAAAAATTTACAGGAATACAAAAATTGGATTCATTATTATAGAAGTTTGTGGGCTCGCTTTGGCGTTGTTTAATCGAGTATATTTTGCCGTGCCTGTCCATCTTTCCGGGTTCTTATCAGCGGTCTAACTGAATGCAAATGAAGCAAGAATTGAAGCTCAACGCTTATGGTGCGTTTACGTGTTAACTGTGGGCGTACATACATATGTATGTACATATAAGGCACTTAGTGCTCTCAAATTTTATTGAAATATCTGCAACTTTGGCATTGGGCGCCAGAATTTCACATTTTATTCTGTTGGAACCTAAATTCCAATTTAGAATTTCGGATGCGATTCTCAGTCGTTCACTTGCCCCACTGCCTGTATATTTTTGTGGCAAATTTTTAAATTTCAACCTCGCACTCAGGCCTACGTCAACTGCGTTCTACTCCCAGCTATACACTGCGTCGATCTGATCCGCTCCGCGCTACGTTTAGGTCTGAAGAGCTATGTTTTCTTTTGCTCCCGCATAGGTGGATGTGGTGGTGGTGAGGCACTGAAAGTTGTTTGTTTGCCTTTGCGGCGGTGGTGGTGGCGTTTTGCCTTTATTTTCCACATCATCGTTTTGTGGTGGAGCGAACACAGAGCGGCCACAACAGAGCGGCAGAGCAGCTCAACATGAGCGCAATACAGTACTAGTTTTTCGCTGTGCTCGCTCGTCGTCGTCGGCGCCGTGGCTGTTGTCGTTTTGGCTCAGGCCGTTTCAGCGCCTTAATCGTGGCAATCGTTGTTGGGAACATAGTGAACGTAATCGACGTCAGTCAAAATACAACAAACTGGTGTTTTGATGGCGCATTCGTTCGATAGCAACGGTTTGGATTGGAGTAGCAGGCGCGCGCTTTGTTTTATTATCCATTTTATCACCATTTATTGTTATTGGCATTGTGGTGTTTGAACGCTTTATACTGCGAAACTCGCTGGATGGCGGTTAATTCTGTTGTACTCGAGGTATGCGCATTCTAGTTGGTGGCAATAATAACAACAAAAATAAGAACATAAGCAATAGTGATAGCACTAACGACAACGTCAACGACAGCAGCGTTTAGAGGCAGTGACAGCGGTTGAGTTCGTTGAATATTCCCGCTATCAGATCGCTATCACAAGGCTGCGCGGCATATCACATCGCGCCGTTCAGTGCAGTGAGGTAGAGTCGAATTGGAGTATGAAGAGTCGCGGCAGTGACGAGCAAAACTCATCAAAGTTAACGCAAACGGCTGCAGTAGCAACAGCAACAGTCGACGAGTAGACAGTCAGTGAGTTAGTCAGTTGTTCAGTAATTCAGTGCTGCGGCAGTGTTCGTAACGAAATCGCGGTTTGGTGACTTGAACGCAAATAAATTTGATTATTATTATTATTGTCGCTATTACTATTATTATAACGATTATTGTGTTGATTGTGGTTCCTATTTGTAGTATTATGCTGATGACATTTTCATGGCCCGTGCTGGTCGATAGTTTTCGGTGAAAAGTGAATTTTTAAACGCGAATGATAAATTAAAAACTTGAAAAGTTCAAAGTGGACCACAAACGAAATTTAAGTTAATTTCAAAAAAATACAAAAAATCAAATCAAATCAAAAAAATAGTAGGTAATCTAAAAATAAAAATGATTTATAGCATCAACAAATTGAGAAAGGCCAACCATATAAAAACTGCGGCGTCTGTATATAAATAAACTAGTAATAAATTTTAAAATTAATTGTAAGTGATTATCCTCCAAAAAAAGTGGTGAGTTTTTCTCACAAAAGTACGAGGAAGTCCATAAACAACAATAAGCATCACACTGTTTATTTAAAGTTGAACAAGTTAATTTTGATTCAAACCTAATGATTAATCTTGACACTGCTCCAAAAAATCTTGCCCAAAATAAAATATTTTCAAACCTATTAATTGGTATTGACAACTCTAAAATTTAATTAAAGGAATTTTGTGAAAATTACAAATGGAAACGAAGTATACGAAAAATAAATCAACTAAGTCTTCTTAGTCTACTGAAAGAGAAACGTTTAAAATAAAAATAATAATAATTGCGAGTGCAAAATACATAAAAATAGTTGATAGGCAATCTATGAACCGTAATGTATTTTTAGTGTTGTGAAACCTTGTGAACTTGTGTAGAAAGCAATAGCGCAGGAGTGAAGAGAATTTGAAACGCCCTTTATTGCCAAATGAATTCGTAAAGTGTATACGCCAAACAGACCGATAACTATCATAAGAATATTCAGACATAATCTCAAAAAAAAAAGTGCCCCACTTCCCACAACTCCAACCCACTATCAGCCAGCTCATTGGATTTGTCTTTATTTTAAGACTACAACCGCCAAAATTCTTACCACCAGCAACATGAATTCTTACTTCGAGCAAGCTTCGGCGGGCTTTTACGGCCATCCGCATCAGGCCACAGGCATGGCCATGGGCACGGGTGGTCATCATGATCAGACAGCTACAGCGGCTGCGGCCGCCTATCGTGGCTTCCCGCTCTCGTTGGGCATGTCGCCTTATGCCAATCACCATTTACAGCGCACAACACAGGACTCGCCCTACGATGCGAGTATCACTGCAGCTTGCAATAAGATCTACAGTGACGGTGCCTACAAACAGGATTGTCTGAATATCAAGGCCGATTCCGTAGTCAATGGTTACAAGGATATTTGGAATACCAGCGCCAATGGTACCAGTGGTGGCGGCGGTGGTTCTGGTGGAGCTGGTGGCTCAGGTGGCGGATCCAACGGATCAAACGCTAATGGACTGAATAATGCCGCTGGCGGTATGCCAGTGCGGCCATCCGCCTGCACTCCAGACTCGCGTGTTGGCGGGTATTTAGACACCTCGGGCGGCAGCCCAGTTAGCCATCGGGGTGGCAGTGGTGGTGGTAGCGGCGGCACGGGAGTTGTTGGTGGCGGCCAAGGTGGCGGTGGTGGGGTTGGGAGCGTAGGTGGTGTTGGTGGTGGTGTGGGCGGCGTTGGCGGCGCAGGCACCGCTTGGAATGCAAATTGCACAATTTCCGGCGCCGCAGCAGCACAGAGCGCTAGCAGTTTACATCAGGCCACCAATCACACATTTTACCCCTGGATGGCTATCGCAGGTAAGTCTCCTTCAATTTGATTTGATAGATTGAAAATTTCGTACAAATATAATGAAGTGGAAACAGTCAAAAATTGTATTGATAGCGTTCCAAATCAATAGCAACAGTTAACTGTAGATTGCTGCTACTCCGATTGTCAGATTTTATAATAGGCACTCGAAACGCCTAAGGCACCAAAGATTTAACATGACTGGGAATCAATTACTTCGTCACTGTTGCTTTGTTCAACCCTTCTCTGAGTAATGAATTTGTTTTAACTGGTTACGCAACGTCTGCTGACTGCAATCAACTATGTCCATACTTACATATGTGCATACATAAATAGCATACAAGCTTTGCTTCAAGCGTGACAGGTGAAGAACGATGGTACAACCGTTTACAACTACTGTAGTATGCGCAATCCATTTGCAGAGTGATCTTTCGATTGTTCGCTTAGGAAGTTTTAGTTGTATCTATATTTAGTGGGTGCGTTGATAGCTTCTGCTGCCTAAAGAAAATTCTCTGGCCGCATGCAGGTAGCGCTTAAGCCGATATAAGAAAGAGTTGAGTTATGAATAATGTGACCAACCGTACTTCTTTCGGAAGTACAGTTCTTCTTTTTGAGCCGTTGTACTTCGTACTTCGAAGTAGAGCATCTTATTTGATTTTTTTTTCAAATTATTCGTTTTCTAAAATGTTAAATATTTTTAATTTATTCTCACAAAAAATATAAATTGTCAAAATCTTTTCGCATGTGAAACTTTTTCCCATACAAAACAAGCGATTGAAAAGAAACCTTTGGGGCGTTCAACTAACTCCGCAGCACAAACGCTGGGCCTTGCATATGATAGATCAATGCTTCGAGAAGCAAACAAAATTTACTAAGAAAGCAAGTCGCACAAATTTTTTTTTCAAATTTAATTTTTAATTTTCACCTAAAATCAGAACTGTTTTTGACACTTTAGATAAGAAAAGCAACACTCTAATACCTGTTTGATATGCCTTGGTATTACCTTTTAAGTTGAAATTTCTTTAACTGTTTCAAAAAATTTCAAAAGGTTAGTCATCTCAGTTAAGGAAGATACTCATATAGATCGTCATATAAATTATGACTTTCAATCACTTAACTTCTCTAGCTGACAAATTTCATTATAAATGGCTTACGGTTGCCAGACGTACTGATTTTATCAGTACAGTACTGATTTTTCAACTCCTGTACTGATTTTATTCATTTCTTCAATCAGTACGCCAATGTCCTGATTTTTCAAAATTTGTGCTGATTTGTACTGAATTTTCTATTCAAACAAAATACTTTAGTATTTTCTTAAGGTTTTTACACAACGTTGGAACTTCCTTAAACTGCACTGTAAAAAATAAGAAGAAAATAATTTAATTATAGTTGACATGTTTTAGATAATGTTTTGTTTGATATGCCCAAGAAATTAATACAACAAAAGGATCAATCGTTTTATGGGCATATCGCCGGGTCGTTACGTACCAGTTGCGATAATATGATGGAGCTTACATTATTTAAAAAGAAGGCTTAAATTTTTCTCGAGTGTTGATAATTATCTCGAAAATAACTTTCAGTTTAATAACAATAAATTTCAATATTCGAATGGCTTTTGCCTATAACCTACATCTCCTTTTTCTTAATTTCCTGACTGTAAAAGAGTTTTGCATACAAGCCATAGAGTTAGATACTCCTTTTAGCGAATTCTTAGTCTTTCACAGTTTTTGCGTAGTTGAAAAATTATTTAGGCCATGAGGAAATATAGATAACCTCCTTAAAACGTGGTACTTTTTTACAGTATGAGAGGATCTTAAGAATAAAGTTTGTTTCCTGGCGCAAAGAGAGAAACCGGCTTCTAATTAAAATTTTTGGAAGTGAACTTCAAATTAAAAGTAATTTTAAAATGAAATGTATAGAATTCTTTGACTATTTAAACACTGAATATGGAAATGATCTCATTATTTCTATTCAAAAATGTCATATATATAAAATAATTTGATGATGTGTACATTCATGTTAAAATGAATAACATTTTTTTATTTTATGAACTAGTAGTGAACCCGTATGGCGTTTTTATTTAAATTTTTTTTTATAAAAAAAAGTTTTTTTTCCTTTTAAATGTTTTTTCTCAGATTTATACATACGAAGTATACAAATAACATATCAAAAGAAAGCGGGTTTAATCACGTTTACGACGATATTAATTTTTTCAAATCAGTTCAAACTTGTTTGAAATATAAGGTTTTTAATTTTTCGAAGACCCGACCTTTGACCCCTTATAGCACTTGTAACATAGAAAAAGTTATATATCGTTTAAATAAGAGAAATGGGCGCACCACGACTATGTTTTTAATTTTTTAGTAGTTCACATACAGTAATTAAAAATAATTTTTTACCAAAGGTCCAATTTCGAACTTCGAACGGGGAAATTACTTTTTTAACTAGGACCCAATCTTTTAAAAAAGTTGGTTTGGTCCAATACCCAGAAAAAAGCTGATTTTGTCGTACAGTGCTATCCAAAAAGACACAAATATAAAATAATTTATTGGCTCCTGTGTATGATGTGTATGAATAACACTTTTATTTTTTATGAACTATATTTTATTTATGTACCAAAATATTGTTAAAAACAAGAACTCAGGCGTTTTAAATTATTTTCTGTTACTTACATTCATAATTTTGCTTTGAATAAAAATGTACTGAAAAGTACTGATTTTTTTAGCATGAAAAAGTCTAATGTACTGATTTCGCGCATGTAAAATCTGGCAACCCTAAAATGGCTACTCAATAAAGAAAAATTAAAAGGTGTTAGGGAGTTTAAAAATTCTGTGGCGAATCTTACTTGCTCGTGTGGATATTCAGAAACGACAGTATCGATGCCATTGTGAATATTTTCTTATCGGGACATATTAACCTTATTAACTATCGTACAGTGCTTATTTTTTGGACACGAAATTGCTCAATCCTTCAAATGGTTTTGATTACTTACACCAGGCTTAGGTTGAACGACCCGGTCGACTAAATTTACATTTCGCAAAATAGACTCTTACTGAACTTATCTTAATTTTTGAGTCTGGGGAGAGGTCTCGATCTTCTCTAACCCACAAAAGAAGTTTGAAATAATCTCACATTTATTTAAAACAGTTCGTTGTCAATGATTTTTTAAGTTTCCCAGCATTTTAAAACCATATCCATATGTAAAATTTAAAACAAAAAAATTGAATTGTTCAAAAATATTGTTCCCAGCATACCATAAGGGGCTTTACGGTTTTTCAAAATGTTCTTAATTTTTTTTATAATTGATAAGGATTAGAGTATTTTCATCATGATTTACATACTATTCAGTAAAACACATAAAAACAGAATGTCCTGAATTAAATCGAAAAATATTTTTTATCTTGTTTAAAATACGTTCCTTTTAGGTTTGGAACCACTTTCCGCCCGCTCTATGGAACTCTTTTCAAATCCATCATATTTTCTTTTAAATATATCCGAAAAGTTCTAAAGTTAGAAAAAAGAAATTTTTATGCATTATTGTTTACCTCTAAATTCATTTGAAACTGCCATAACGTCAACAGGTTTTTTGAGGTGTTCCTCTTCAGGAATATTCGGAAACGACGATCAGTTTATTTTTGTTTGAAAATTTCTTTTTCAATTCACGATAAAAAAAAAACTTGGACTCCCTTCTCACTCCATATTCGGAGCGCTCCGAAAGCACTCATTCGAGGTGTTGCTGCGGGCGTCCTTTTTTACTCCATATTCAGAGCGCTCCGCAGTTGCTGCCTATTGAAATGAACGTAGCAATGCTTTGTTCAATGTAAAACTTAAACATTTTTTCCATGCAAGTATTCAAAAAAGTGGTCTAATGATTTCAAATCTGAAATGTTCGTGCGAAGTTTCAGATCGGGCACTTTAATTTGATACATGACTTATCTCTGTACGATTAGTAGATCGTTGGGAATAAGCGCCTTATCTTACAATAATAAATTGTATAGATTTTTAATTAATGAATGAAAATATACATAGCGACCTTGGTATACCGATGGTTAAATCTGTAATCGACAGCAGCAGAGAAAAATACAAAATAAAACTGCGTAACCACCCAAATCCACTGGCAAGTGGCCTGTGCAGCACAACAAATATAACAAATAGATCTGCGAAGAAGAGATCTACCAGCCTTTAATTGAGCGACGTTAAACCAACAGGGCTTAACCCCAGGGTTTGAGCTACATTATTGTAAAATTAGATGTAAGATTTTTAAACTTGTTGTTAGGCTAATAGATGTAAAATAAGCAGATCCAACAAATAAATGCAAGTATAATTAAAAAAAAAAAATTTTAATTAATAAAATTTATTTGTCACACTGTTTGTTATACACTGTCACTTTTTTTGTATACTCTGATTTTACAATTTTCTCATTACTTTCATACTATTTTTGGTTTTCAGTTTCTGTACTTCTTTGAGCTATGAAATAGTTGGTCACATTAGTTATGAATGGCCTCCTGTTCTGTATTTGAAGCTGCACTCCTGAATCTAGCAGGCATGATTCTCCGATGAATTAAAAAGAACTTATTAATAAATACGCAATCGTCTGAACGAGAAAATATAAGCTTTCACTTTTGCATTATTCGCCTATTCTAGTCATGGGATCTTGTATTTTTCAATCATTTATTATATCATTTATAATTACTAGTAGAAACGTCGCAAAAGTCATCATTATTTATTATTATCTTCAAAGCCGTTTTATAGATTTTTTTATTTTTTTTTGGATTATGACACTCTTGCAGCAAATGTGTGATATTTACTGTATATGCGGTTCGTGAAAAACTCAATGCTGAAATGTATAAAAAATTTATGTTGGAATGTTTTAAAATCAATATTGGCTCGTCCTAGTGAATTGCAGTATTCTCCAAGACTATATTTCGTGAACTAAAAATTTTTCGTTTTTTTTTTGATGAACAGGAAAATATATTATTTTTTTTATAATTGAAAAAATTAAAACTGTTCT